GATTTTGTGATGCCGTATCAATATCATATTCATAGGGGTGTCAAAATGGGTATTCGATTCAGATTTGAGTCGAACACGTACGGAATTGACCCGGGTCCAATTCAACTGATTAGAACCCAACCCGAAGGGGGTTATGGGGGTGGGTGACATGTCCCGATCCGGCCCACTAACCAACACGTGCGAGAGACGAGTGTTGAGCACAGGCCGCGTGCGGGACTACACGACTATGGGTGAGGGCGGGATCGCTTGACTTGTGAGCGGGCGAGGGTGAGGGCGAGGGGCGCACGAGTGCAGGTTCGAGTGTCTGGAACGGTGCAAGCAGACTAGGGCGAGGCAGCTTCGCCGCGAGCAAGACTGTTTGAGTGTGCAAGTGCAGCATGAGGCGCTTATGTGGGGTGACTAGGCGAACCGGCTTGGTCAAACAATTTTTGGGTCAAATCTTGGTCAAATTTGAGTTGGCGGGTTAAACCAGTCTCTGCCCAACTTTTCAAATGGGTGAAAAAATGAAACTTGAACCCGATTTGTTTTTAAAACAGATCGACCTGAACTCAAAATTTTTAGATCGAGTTACGATTGTTTAATCGGGTTGGGTCAATAATTTACACTCATACTCATTTTTTTCTTAATTATGTTGACAATATTATTAATATTTTTAAAATTTTGTAGAAGTTGAGCCAAATCAAAATATTAGGTGTTAAATATCAACATAAATATCATTAATATTTAATTTTAAATTAAAATAAATTTTTATATGATTGAGATATTCAAATATTACATAAATAAATAATGTATTCAAATAGTCCAAGAAGTTTGTTCGCAGTCCCCTGCACTTCAGTATCGTCGAAAGTCTCGCCATTTTCTTCGCCTATGCAGATGAAGCCTCAGATTCCGACCATCGTCCAAATCTCCATCCCATCTACGCTGAAAGATCCCGCCTCCGCCACCACTCCGAAACCGGCAGCTCCCACCAACTACTCAGCCCGCGCACAGTGGGTACGCGCCGCAGTCCTCGGCGCTAACGACGGTCTCGTCTCCACCGCCTCCCTAATGATTGGAGTCAGCGCCCTAAATGCAACAGCTCATTTCATGCTCGCCTCCGGTCTCGCCGGGCTCCTCGCCGGCGCTTTCAGTATGGCCATCGGCGAGTTCGTTTCCGTCTGTTCGCAGTACGACATCGAAGTGGCTGAGCTTAAGCGTAAGAATCACGGCGATGTGGACGCGGCAAAGAAGGAAGGTGAAATGCCGAGCCCGGCGAGAGCCGCGGGGGCGTCGTTTGTGTCGTTTGCGTTGGGGGCAATGCTTCCGCTGCTGGCCGGTGGATTCATTGGGTCGTGGGTGGCGAGGCTTGCGGTGGTGTGGATGGTGAGCAGTGCGGGGCTGGCGGGGTTCGGGGCCGCCGGAGCTTATTTTGGTGGCTCTAGCGTGATGAAGGCGACGATGAGGGTGGTGGTCGGGGGTTGGTCGGCTATGTGTATCACTTTTGGGGTGCTTCGCTTTGTTGCATTCGCTTTCCAATTGGATACTTCCGGTGGCATTTAGGCTTTGGAAAATAGTGAAGTTTTCTTTTCTATGCATATTTACCTTTAATTAAAAATATATATATTTTTTTTTTGGCAAGTTCTATGTTATGATTTGTAAGGTTCTATTTGTTGTTGATTTAGTTGAAGGGCATCTAGATTTTCATAGAATTAAGATGTGATAATGTGTATCAATCTATCCCAAGAGCTCAGTTCAAGCAAGGACGAAGACTTCAGCCATCAACAGGAGCGGAACCAGACTCAAATTTAAGGGTGGGCAAAATTTTCATATAAATGGATTAAAATTAAAAAAATAAATAAATACATAATTCAAAGCAATATTTTGTATTTGATTATGATTGATAAATTGAAAAATTAATGATTACAAGCTTATCAATTTGTTTTGCATTTTTTTTATAATGTTGTGTTATAATTTCATTGAGAATTAAATCGAACAAATTTTTTTTTAATGTAAGACACTAGACAGTCGTTGAGCCAATCACGCATATCTTACTACACAATTAATGTTTGACAATTCTTATTGTAGAAAATGCTATCTCAATTGTAGCAGTAGCAACTGATAAAATTAATGCTAAAGTAGTAAATTAATTTGTATAAATTGTAGTGTCTTATGCAACTTGTGTATAATTTTCTACTTTACACAAAGTTTAGAAGTGTAAGATGTGTCTTATACAACTTGTATGAATTTTTAAAATGTTTTTCTTATTTAGGAAAAATAGGGTTGTTAGTAGAGGATGAATTACCTAAAATATCATTACTAGAAATAATTTATTAAATTTTGAGGCCCTCATGCAAGCATAGGCCCACCCCCAACCATCAAGTTGGCAAGTCAGTCTGGTGATATATATTCATATAATTGTCCACATGCACTCTTATGTATTTTGGGCTACACGCTTCATGTACGCACATTAACATTTATTTTATTTTTATGTAGATTAGAAGTAGTTATATTTGTAATGCCCAACCCCTAAACTTATAAATAGAAAGTAAAAAGATATTTTTGACACATGAAGTCACTGGGGCATCAACTCTTATATTATTTGCAATGTAGTGAAATCTCATATTTTCTCTCTATATATTATTATTTTTTCCTCTCCCTCCCCTTACATTTTTGTTCTATTTTACGTTGTGAAATAATGTTCTAGTATTGCCCACAGATAAAACTTAGTCTAAAAAAATATATAGTATAGAGTTTACTCAAATATTACAACACCTTTTGTTGATTATATAATTGTTGATGATGCCTTAATTTTTATGGTGCATGTATTCTCTTTGTTTGTGCCTTTTGAACTCCATTGATGTTTTAATAGAGAAAAATTATTCTTAGCATTAAGAACAATTTCTTTTGGAAATGTCAGGACCTCGAGGTGGAAGTCGCACTTTTGCCTAAGATCAAACATGCTTCAACTAACATATAGGGATTGTTGGATGGAGCTCTAGTTGTAGTTGTTATTCTTATTCTTATTATTGTTATTATTATTATTATGAAACTCTAGTTTTATTTTAAGATGTAGATTGCCTCTTAATAAGATCAAATTTAATTTCAATGTTCATCATATTACAAAATATCATGAGAGCATAGATAAACATTATCATTACAAATCAATAGGTAGCACAAAGTAATAAAATGTGAAAAAGAAAAGAAGTAAACTTGAATTATAGTGGTTGAGCCTATCGGTCTATGTCCACTCAAGTTCTCTTCTTGGGATTTCCATTACATCTCTCATTTTGCTCCATGTAAGATGGAGAAGCCTATCTCTATTATTGGATATTAGATAAACCGATTCATGATTTTTCCCTCTTGAAAAATACAACTACTCGAACCTATCAAATAGATTCCACAACATACAAAAAAAAAAAAAAAAACTCACAAGATTAATAGGCCTTTTATAAATAAAGCACAACAAGCACTTAAACTAGAGCTTAGACTTTAAAATAAGAGGATCAATGATAAAACTTTGTGTGAAAGTAGCCAATGGTGTAAAATCTCATACAATAATTTCTTTTTGAATGGTCAAAATCTCAAAAAAAAAAAAAAAAAGTGAATTAGAAAGAAAAACTTTTTCTCCCAAAAACTCTCAGACTACAATAATCCTTAATCACAAAATCATGTTTTAGGATTTAAAAAAAAAATTATTTATAAGATAGCTTGATTAGAAACCTTAAAGTGCATGGCATTGTTTATTATAAATTTTGACCTAATAGTATAGTTTGATCCTAGGATCATACGTTATAATTGTATCATATATGATAATTTCAATTTTTGAATTCACCTATTAATGAAAGGAGAGTATGACGACTTTATAATTTTAATATAACTGATTGTATAATGTAATTATCATCATACAATACAATTAATAATAAAATTTTTATTTTCAATTTTCTACTAAACATTACAATTTGATCAACAACAACAACAACAACAACATCAAGCCTTTATCCCACTACGTGGGGTCGGCTACGTGAATCATTTTTCTCCATTGTGTCCTATTAAAAGTCAAATTCTCGTTTAAATCTAATAAAGAAAGGTCATTCCTAATATTTTCTAACCAAGTCTTTATAGGTCTACCCCTACCTTTCTTAACATAAGTCAAATCTAATACCTCTACTCTCCTAACCGGGTCATCGCAAGGCCGCCGTTTTATGTGACCAAACCATCTAAGGCGACTTTCTCTAATCTTATCTTCTACTGGAGCTACTCCAACCTTTTCACGTATATGCTCATTTCGTATCCTATCTCTAAGGGTAAAGCCACTCATCCACCTGAGCATCCTCATCTCTGCCACACTTAACTTAGTATTATGCTTTTCTTTTAAAGGCCAACATTCGGCACCATAAAGCATTGCAGGCCTCACTACCATCTTATAGAATTTTCCCTTAAGTTTGAGGGGTACATTTCTATCACATAACAAACCCGATGCATTCCTCCACTTCGACCATCCAACTTGAATTCTACTGATAATAACCCCATCTATTTCACCATCACTCTGAACAATAGATCCAAGATATCTAAAACGTGTACTCTTATTAATGACTTGATCACCCAAAGTCACAATCCCCTCACTAGGTCTATTACTACTAAAATTACACTCCATATATTCTGTTTTAGATCTACTCAAGCGAAAACCTTTAGACTCTAAGGTTGACCTCCATAATTGAAGTTTACCTTCAACTCCCTCTCTAGTCTTGTCAACAAGAAGAATATCATCAGCAAAAAGCATACACCAAGGTACATCCTCTTGCAAATGTCTAGTGAGAACATCCATGACTAAAGCAAAAAGATTTGGGCTTAAGGCTGATCCTTGATGTAACCCAACCGAAATAGGGAAATACTTGGTCAATCCACCTTGTGTTTGAACACAAGTAATAGCTCCTGCATACATATCTTTAATGCTTTGAATATAAGCATTATTGACTCCTTTCTTTTCAAGAACTCTCCATAGCACTTAATTTGAACTTGCTAAATTTTTAATTTGTCATGAACATAGAACAAGATGATACATCATTGTATAGTATAATTTTTTTATATATCAATCTATCTTAGGTAACCATTCTAAGGAAAATTTTCAAAGTATTGTTTTTATTAATTTTTCTCTAGTGCTTGATTTTTTTTTTTTTTTTGCATAAACCAAATACATGGCACATACAAGAAGATATGACACATTTTCTTTATCATCTTGCATATATATCAAGGAAGGAGCCTTAAAATGCCTAGGATGGAGATATTCTTTTAACATGACTAAAATCTTATGATAACTAGATAAAGTCTCCTAAAAAATATGTAAATGAAACCTTCTTGAAGGAATTAATGCTCTATGTTATTTACTTCTATGTTAAATATATGGCCGCAAGCCTCTTGGATGTGATCTTGTATCATGCTATATGCCAAGTATTTCTTGAAGTCCTTTATTATAATTGAATATGTTATTCCTCCTCTGTCTCCTTTAACAGTTGAGCTTATAATATCTTATCCCCCTCCTCAAGAGATATGTTATTAGCTTTATGTGCTTTAAGTTCTTCACTCTTTGATATTTTTTTCTGTGTGCCTCTCTCAACCCATCATAATCATTTGGTAGCATAAAGAAAGAGAAGTCACTATGGTTGATAGCTCAATCAAATAACCTACTAGTTGATCTAGCTTTTACCCCCTTTCATATTCACCTTAAAGATATTTATCTTTTTATAAAATATATGTTATTCATTCAGGGTAACATTCCATTTGACATCAATATTCATGGTAGAGACAACAACATCAACATTGGTAACTCCATGTAATTTTCTTAGACCATCATCTTATGGAAGTAGTCATATTTCTTTCTATGAAGATGCTTTGGGAGGAGGTCAAAACAAATTTTGAAATTTTTATTTGCTCATAATCTAAAAATTTAGAGGATAAAAAAGTGGAAAAAAAGTCATAATATACTACAAGAAATTGACAAAAAACTATTAATTCATTTAATGCATTTTTTGACAATAATGACAACACATAAAATATTGACCAATAGCCATTCAATAATATTTTTAGAAAAAATATTATGTGAAGATTTTTTTTTTAATGAACACATCGATCTTCTATAAAATTATTTTGACAATTTTGACAAATAAATAAGTCATATAAAATTTATGAATTATTGCAATGAGAAAAATAACAAATTCAATATTACTATTCATTGCAAAAAATGATAGTATTTTTACATACACAAATTTAAATTTTGATGGAGATGTTATCAACATTTATAAAACTTTGAAAAACTTATACAATTGATTTGATTAAAAAAAATCACCAAAGATATAAGCATCGTAATTTCAACATCAGTAGATCAAAAAATTTAAAAATCTCTCAAAAAATTAAAGCTGAAAGTTTTATTGATTATATAATTTTTTAGAAATATATACATATATACACATGAGTCTCCAACATAAAAAGTATTCCAAAAAATTGGAAAAAATACAAAAAAAAAAATCATTTAAAAATGAAAAAAAAAAAATCTAAAGTTTCAT